TAAGACTAAATATTTGATTCAACACAAAACAATGTATTCTGTTTATAATGGCACTTTAATGGAAAAATGCCTCAGCTTAGCCTATGACATACTTTTTAACAGTTATCTAACCATCAGAGAGTCTATTACACCTGCAATTCTACTTAACATGTCACAAAACATAAGCAGAGTGGCATCAAGCAGAGCCACACACCACAGGTTTATACTGAGCTTAAATGTTCTAACAGCAGTAGTTTATTTATCCCTGCCATGTAACTTTAACGACCTTTGTGCGTGGATGCTGGTAATCACTGACTTCCATTGTCCCCTAAATTGTCTAATGACATTTTCAAATGCTTTTTAGTTTTAGCAGAAAATAAATCATAAAAATCACTAACATTTGCCATCCTCTGCTGGCACTCTCCTCAAAAACTAGCCCCCCCTAACTCATACATTACATTCATAATGAAATGTATTCCTGTGAGAACACAGCTACCTCGACGCGGAGTATCCAGACTCCTGTGCCCAATGACCTTCCAAAATCCAGCGGTAAGGGTTTCTGATCAGTTCCTCTGCAAGATGCAGACATTAAACATGAATTATGGGTGTGGATGTGTCGCCTTCCCAGCCCTCTCCCCACCACACGCAATTCCACCCCCAGCTTCTTTCCTGGTTTTCATGCAGATTTGTGCCAGACGCTCAGCACCCTCATTAAGCGGTGTCTGGCAACTTGCCTAAGTTTTAGTGGGTCCTGGGAATGCCAATATATTAACCAGAGGACTTTCTGCATACCCTTGAGAGATTTTATTCTAGCAAAGTCAACCACTTGGCACAAAGAAAACTTACTTCAAATCTAGGAAAGCTCTTCATTGGCAATAAGAAGAGAAACTGCATTTAGATTCTTCTTAATTTCTGTCTCCTATCTGAAAGGGAAGTTTGATGTAGAGCAAGATCATCCAAACATGGTTTAAAAAGTCAGGCTGCTGTCTGTAGTAGGATTTTAGAGAAAAGAAAGTCAGATATGAACAACACAGGCACAGCACAACATCAAGAAAATGATTCATTTTCCTTCCCTTGTCTCTTGTGACCAAAATAATCTTAATCAGGGAGATTAAATTTACCCGTTATTATGCTGAGTGATAATGAATGGTGATATAGGGACTTGCAGATTTCCACTGCTTAACAATAAGAAAAAGCATTTAGTAAAATTCATCTACATCTACCATATTCCAAATATGCTAAATCAAAGCATATGCTACTGAAATGCATATATTAAATAAATATAGATGATGAATACAAAGACATTTTGCCAGCATGAAATACAGAACAGACTGTAATGCTGTCATCACTTATTCACCTGCAAGCATTCTTTTGACTGCAGTCCCCTTACAGCTGCTATTACTCAACTGACAGTCTCAGAAGTAAGCAAATAAAACTCCTCTCTAAAATAACTTAGATTTCTCTTTCAAATCGAATGCTCAGAAGAACACAATGGGAAAAAAAAAGGATCAGTATCTTTCCTTTACTAGAATATTCTGCCTGTGTGGCACATAGAAAAAGTTGAAGTACAGTGGACAAATGTCTCATTATTTCATTCTGAGACCATTTCTGCAGATTTGTACACCTAGAGAATCCCACTCATTTCAAGAAGTTGCTCAGGCAATCTGCTATCCTTTACATATTGCTACCGATTATTATTAGAAAGTGCTTCGAGCTGACATTTACCTCAAACTCATCTTGGTTTGTGCAAAAACTTGCCGACTTCCTGATAAGCAGTTCCAAAAACTCACGATCCATTTAAAATGACCAATTAGCACCAGAGATGCAGCAAGAATCAATTAAAATCAATTCAATTCAAATGTTTTAGCGTATGTATTAGAAGTCTGGCAAAAGTAAGATTATGTTTGGTGGGAAAGAAATTTTTAGCTATCTAGGCTGCCTTTGCTTAGATATCAACCTTCTAGGCAAGACGGCTATTCTTAAAAATAGCTGTCAACTGAGAGAAGAAAATGTATATGTATGAATCATTTCACTACAGGGTTGGATTCCCAGCAACTGATGCACCACTGTTCTGGCATCGGTGCCTCTAACGAGCAGCTGATACTAGCTTGGTGCCATTGAAGAATTTCACGGTTACCACAGAACCAATCTGCAGGAAAATTCATGCCTAAACTCCTAGAAGTATCTGCGTTCTGTAACTGGCAATTCACTTGCAAGGAGCTGTTTTAAACTATTAGAAACCTGACAGAAAAAAACTTTTCCAAGATCACTCACAAGTTAAATGCATCAAACCATGTCTGCTGATGCGAGAGCTGTTGGGCATGCACTCGCTTTCCAACACTTTATTTCTCTTTGAGATTATATCGAGTTGAATTACTTTTAAGATACCTCTCTATTATTTCCACAATCATTTACTTCTTTCTGGCACATCACATCCTTAAAGTATTCCAAATTATTTCAGACAGCATCACTGAAATGCAACTAGCTCTTGGTGGTAAGGCAGCAGTCACTAGACAGGATACTGCAGGCAACTGTGGAAAACAGAACTAAATTTTGGCCAAGAAAATTGGAGAGAGAACTTCTCTCCCCGACTCTCTCCCACAACCACCCACCCCCCAAAAGACACGGTACCGTCAGTGCACAGAAAACTAACAACACATCTTTTCATGTCTTACACAGAGAAAACAGCATCTTACTACTTAAAGATAATAAATGCACAGGTTAGTTCTAAATTCTTCTACTGTCCAATGGTTTTATCTTACCAAACTCACTACAACTATGCCTCAGTCCTGAATCTGAGTTTCCTTCTACTTCCACAAGTTCTCAAGCCTAAGATGCTGAAGACTGAAATTCAAACTTCATCAGTCAAATGCTGCCTAGTGCCTGTAATGTTTCAATTAACATAAACCAATGGCCTGAAATATACTGTCACACACTGTTAGCTCATTCTGCATTATACATTTATCATCATTTAGGCCTGCACAGGCATCTGAATTTACTGGAGAATACTGATATGCCTTAAGTTCATGCAACAATGATCTTCACATACCTAAAGAGTCAGAATTAAACATGTTGCTATAAGCACAGGTTATATAAAATTAGGTATTTTTACTTCTATACATAACCGCATATAGTTGACATGTTCCAGTATAAGTCGTCCTCTCACTGGTCACTTCACAAATAACAGTAACTTAATACCTGATGCTAAAACACCAGCACAGCTACAGATGCTCACAGTACCATTACTACATCTACTAATACGGACTAGTGGATGCTGATTAGATTGTTCCCCACCAATGCACTGGTTTTCCAGTGAAACTTCCCCTTCCATTTACCACCACTAAGCCATATTTATATGCTCATTAGTGGAACCATACATGTGTGCAGCACATGCACAGTTATTCAATTCTACTCGATAGTGAGCCTATCATGTGTTATTTGAGCAAGTTCGGATCATCACACAGAGTAGATTTACCAAAACATTAACACAGGAATGAAATTGGAAGGCACAATAAAATTTTTGTATAACCAAAATACTCAAAGCTTGAAGGATGAAAACCAAAAGACACTTTCCGGAGAGGAAGATTACTGTACTTAAGCAGCATCTCTGGTCTTACCTCATCTGTGTCTACCAGTAATTGCCCCTTGGGCTTTCTCATAAGCAAAAACTCTCTCCCTTTTCGGCTAGCCTCAGATGTACACTACTGCATACGTTTCACTCTTCATGTTATGTGGTGCACCTTTCCAGTTCAGAAATATTTTAATACAAGATTATTTTGTCTGTAAGAACACACAAACCTCTGAAGAGTTCTCCTTCCTGACAAGAAGATGCCTGTGTTTTAGACCTATAAACTTTTCTAACACCAAACACTATTTCTAGTACCATATAAAATTATTCACCAGATTTCTGTTCTCTCACACAACCATTGTTTGCTATTCAGAAAAGGTTCTGAACGACAAAGAAAAAAGTCCTTTATCATTCTAGATGTTCAGTAAAGATCTCGTAACAAAAGTTACTTTTGCATTTTGCCTGTTTCCTGCTTATTCTTTAGAGAACTTAAACCTACCCACAACGGTGTGCCTGTGTCTGCAGCAAGCATCAGCTCATAAACCTACGCGTAACTACCTACCCACCTATATGACGGATAACTTGGCAACACCATTCACAAATTTGGGATGCGCATATTCAACGCAAACAATGCGGGCAGACGTCAGGTACAGAGAGGCAAAAGACAGACTTCTGCTGATAAACTTTCCTTAAAACACAAACAACTAGAGAAGGCATTTCACTAAATGTAGGTCACTTGCGGGTGAGCCTGGCAGCCAGGCTGCTGCTTCTCCTCCCTGTAAAAGTTGCCCGCTTGGACCCGGGCGCAGTCTGCCGCGCAGCCATCTCCGTTAGAATACGGATCTACCCCGCACCGCCACCGGGACTGCCCACCGCTGTGTATCGCATCAATCCCGAGGCCAGGCGAGGTAAGCGGTCAGACGGAGCTGGAAGTATTTACTTGTGAACAGCCGGAGAGGACGTGTCGCACGCTCCCCGCTCCCCAGCGCCCTGCCCGGCGCCGCAGCTCCGCAACCCCGCTCGCCTCCGCTGCGTGGGTCTCCCCGCCGTGCTGCCGGTCCCTGCTCCTGCCCCGGCCGCGGGGTGCAGCGGCAGGCAGCGAGCGACGGGTCTGCCGGCGGGCAGGCCGCCCCCCCGAACGCCGCTACCTGTCACCGCTGCCCCTCACTCCGGCCACTGCCGCCAGACAGCCCCTCAGCAACACCCCCCGCTCCCGCCGGGGCACCTGGGGGGCGACCGCGGGGGGACGCGCTCAGCCCGACCCCGGCAGCGGCTGTGGGGGGCTGGGGCACCCCCGCCGCGGGAGGGAGTGCGGGCGCTGGCGGAGTCCGTCCCCCCCCCCCCCCCGCACGCTCCCAGGTGTCCAACTCGGGCCTCCCGGCACTTTCCCTGCCACTTTCCGCCGCGGCGCCCCCCGCCCGTGCCCGTCCCCGCCGCGGCGGGCAGCACTCACCTCCCGCCGGCCCCCGCCGCTCGCTGCCGCGCGGGGCTGGCCTCCTCCGAGGCGGACGGGGCGCCTCGCCGCCTCCCCCTGCCTGTCTCCGGCAGCCTGTCTCCCTGCGCTGAGACTGTGCCTGCCTCCAACTCATCCCCAGCCTCTCCGCCTCCCCCCCCGCCCTGCCCGCTCCGCTGGCTGCCGCCTGTCTGCAGAGAGTCTGGCTCTGGCGGACGGGCGCGGGGGCCGCCGGCGGGGGGGGGGGGGGGGGGGGGGGGGAGCGGGGGGAGGGGCGGCGGCGCTCCCGCCCGGCCCCGCAGCCCACACTGACACCTGCCGGGCGGATGTGCGCCGCCACCCCACCGGGGCCCGGCGGCGGCGGGGGGAGCCCCGAATCACCCCCGCTTGTGAGGGAGCCGCCGCCTCTGCGGGAACGGCCCCGCTGCACCCGTGGTAGTGCTGCTGCTGCGGCGAGGCGCTGCGGGGGGAAAGCAGCGGCTGAGGTGAACGCACTGGAGCGGAGCCTGCCCTGCTCCTCCGGTAGGGACGGGAGCGGCGAGGGGGGAGGAGGGGTGCAGACCCACACTTTGTCCCATGCAGAAAGGAGCAGATTTTTGACATTTCTAAAAAATGTTGCAAGACAGGAAAACCCAGTTCTAGCCCCGGCCCAGCAGGCATGAACCCAAGGCAGGCTGCTGCCCTGCCTGTGTGCACTTGCACATGCTGTCCATTGCAGCCAGTACCGCAGGCCTGTGTAAAACAGTCAGGTTTGCCCCTGCCCTTGGGTCTCCACCTGTCTTTGTGAATATGCTCCGGGATGCAGGGCTGTGGTACAGCACCTGAGCTTCAACTCCGGCCTCCCCCCACTTTCCCTAACACAGCCATGCCCTTTTGGGAACAAATGTAACACTTGAAGTTGTGATTATTACAGAAATATTTATGCACACCATTCTCATAGAAAAACAAAAAATATCCCTATTTCTCTTAATTCAGATCATCGTCTTTAGTCCACACTCCCATGTGTGATGTACCCTGAAGACTTTTCCCTTCCCAGCTGTACCTGGAGCCCTAAAATGAATAGAAGAAAGAGGAGGGAGGAGCAGGTAACACGGTGAACTGTAACAGTTGCTAACTTGAAGAATGTGCCCTTAAACTCAAATGTGCTTTTTAGTGCAGCTGGTTTGCCTTCTTGCCTCACCTAGTTGCAAGTTGAAGATGCACATCTGCCCGAAGGAGCCAGGAATCTGCCAACACAGAATTCAGAGCACCAAGCCATGAAGTGTCAGTGACAGAGGGCCTGCAGTTTGTGCTGCAGGTCACCAGATGTGACAGGAGACAAGGGAACCAGTGGAGTAGTTCCAAAACAGAGAAACAGATCTGCAGTGAAAGATGATTTTAGCAAACATGTTAGATTATGCCACAAGAAGCCAAAGGAACATCGAGCAATACAGGAAAGAACAGCTTCCAGTAACCTGGAAGACATACGTGGGCTTCCTGTCCTGAAAGTTGCAAAATCATCAAAAGGGCAAAGGGTTAACAATCACCATAATTAACTATTTATAATCCATAAATTGGTATTTATAATTTATGTATAATCTAACAAACCAGGAGAACCTTGATTTCAAGTCTGCTCTATTAGCCATCAAGAGTCAAAGTGTGCCCCAGCAACCTGTACACCCTTCATAACAAATGAGTGTGACATGCTTAAGCTGTGTTCCCTTCAGTGACTTCTCCAGGAAAACCAGTCATCCATTTCCATCATAGAGTCTTGCCAGGTGGAGAGAAATATCCCTAACCCGTGGAAAACTTTGTAAAGCATAACAGAATCACCTCTCAAGTTATTTCTATACAATACCTCTCAAGCAGAAAAATTTGCCTGGCAGCAATTTGGGATATTTTAGGCTTGTAGGAGGAGGACAGCAAGAACCAGTGAAAATGCACAGGCTTACGCACATGCCCAGAAAGCCCTATGTATGGATCTGTGTCTGGAAAGAGAAATGCAGAGAACACCCAATACTGCTGGTACTCTTGTTCCTATCCAAGATATCTCTGGAAGAGACAATCTACACCCTGATATACCAGCACCTGCCAGAGGACAACAGTTCCTCAGATGTATAAATTCCTTTACCTTTTAATCACAAAAATTACCATTACAAGTTCTCTTCAGTGTCTGGCTCCGTTTAAACATGTCTAAAAAACGTCAGTATTTCTAAATCTTAGAGACAGCCTAAGAGTATTAACATTTAGCCCCTGATAAAGTTATAAATCATATGAGATCTTACATTTCACTCTAAAGTGAATCCCAGAGAGAGTTTGGCTATATGAAGATACATGTTAAAAAAGCATCTCTTCAGTGAAAGCAATAGTCCAAGCATCGCAATACTGGGGTTTCATATCCATGAGGTTGCATAAGTGTCCTGATGGTCTGTTTCATAGATAAATAGGAGAAAGTTCTTAAAATGGATTTAATGTATAGGGAGATCTGTGTATGATCTTCCTACTTTTCTTTTTCCTCCTCTCTAAACCTAGTAATGATACAGTTAATATTTGGACTGTTGTGTTTAATATATTTTTTGTCACTGCTTTGTAATTCATCTGATAGAAGTAACTTCAATGTTACTGGTAGACAGGATGGATCTGTGCTCCTAAGGGTGTAGCCTGCCTACAGGAGCTACTCACCCCTGCCATGTCCAGACCCACAATGCAAGAACCAAAGAAACCTGGTTGGCAGGTTCTCTGCTGACTCTACAATAAACACTTGGCCCAATCATGCTATCAGATCTGGCAGGAGATACCCAACCTGGTGAAGCACGTGGCCTGAGTGTCCATATCCATCCCTGGTAGGGCTCCTTCTCTGCATTCGTTCCATACGCTGTAACTGCTATCATGTTTTCCTTCCCTATCTCACAGCCTGCAAGACATGCCACACTGACAGGGAGGAAGCCAGTGGAGAAAGCAAGTATTTGAACAATTAAGACTGAGAGGAACAAATCTGAATCTAGGGACATAATGGTTGTTGGGTTTAATTAGTCATGACTCATCTTGTTTCCCACCAGGAAGCCACAGATCACTGTATTTCAAGCATTACTGATTCCTATTATCTGTAATGCTGAGAGAACAAGGAAGAAGAAATTAAAAACATTCAAACCGCAGTAAGAACATAGCCAAATAACATATGAGCACATGTAATAGGCCAGTCTTACTGAACCACGTGTAAAAGCATGCCACAAAAAACCAGCACCTAAAACTAGTTAGAAGAGTATTTGGTAGGGTTTTCTTACCCAACATATCATCCAGATTCATCTCCCAGTTGCCCACCACGAGCTGATAAGCATGGCTCATAACCCTAACCTGGTGCTGTTTCACAGAAGAAGACTGCAGCCTTAGTGGCATCCTGCAGCACACAGAGACAGACAAGTCTTCAATGTGCTAACTTCCAAAAGACACCACTCAGTCAAGCCCCTGTGGTGAGGGGGCTGGGTTTTGGTGATGTGTGGTTTTTGTTGTTGTCATTTTAGGTTTTTATCTAGTAAGAGAAGACTTCACAATAAAGAGGTGACGATCCTCACTCACTAAAGCCAGGAAGTTATATTCTTTGTCTTGGATAACTCCCAAGAAGGTCATTTCTTTCAAAGGCTTTCACTCTCCTGGATTAGACTAACAAGCATACATTAGGGAAGAAAACTTCTATATTAGGCGATATATGGAACTAATGGCCAGCTATCAAATCTCCTTAAAATTTTAAGGATCAGTAACATAAAAAAAAAAAAACAACCTCATACCAAAAGCTTGCCATAATGTTTTTGGCCATTTCAAAAGAAAAAGGCCTGTCAGATATTTTAATAAGATTCTGAAATTTTCCAAAGTGGTTCAAGATCTCAATGCAAATTCTAAAGTTTCAGTTCCAGAGGAGGAAGGAGGCAGGCCTTTGTCTGCACTGAGTGAGCTTCAGAGTAGTTGAAAGGCCTCAACTGTGTGGCTGACTGGGTTTAAACCACGACAACACACCTCAATGCCCAAACAGGTGTGTGCAGACGGGCTTGTAGGACCCCTTGACTACACACAGGGTTCCAGAACCCAGACTGCATTTTCAACAGCATCTTACAGTGCTGTGCAATTGTGTCACTCCAGTGATTGTGCCGTCTCAGAAAAGGACCACTTTGTATGCCTTGTTAAGTAGGTGGTAGGTATTAAAGCACTGATGGGGGGGAAGTATGAAAGGATGTAAGGAAGGCAGCACAAGAAAGATTACTTGCAACATTCTGCTGTTATACAAAATCCTCTGTTCTAGTCATTCACCAAAATTAGATTCAAATTAAATTCAAAATTAGATTAGGACAAGGGGTAACGGGTTAAAACTTAAACAGGGGAAGTTTAGATTGGATATAAGGAGGAAATTCTTTCCTGTTAGGGTGGTGAAGCACTGGAATGGGTTGCCCAGGGAGGTTGTGAATGCTCCATCCCTGGCAGTGTTCAAGACCAGGTTGGACGAGGCCTTGGGTGATATGATTTAGTGTAAGGTGTCCCTGCCCACGGCAGGGGGGTTGGAACTTGATGATCTTAAGGTCTTTTCCAACCCTAACTATTCTATGATTCTATTCCAGCTAGTTTGTTGTTAATGGGTGCACACACACAGATTCTGCAATGTGTTATTCATCCACAAATTCCACCCACACACCTGCAGACCCCTCCATTAGATGTCAACCTCAGTTTCAGACAGTCCCACACATCTTAAGAGGAGATATTATGGTTTTCTTATCATGATGGACATAACTAAAAAGGTTTTCATGCTAAATAAAGTGCTACATCAGATTAATCTTGGTGAGCACCATGAATATCCGGACTGCATCCTTAGGTTTTAATAATAAGGTAACATTACAGAGCACATATTTCTTTGTTCTCAACAATAAAAAGGCTTGGAAAGGACATCATTAGACAAAGTACTATAGAGATGACAATCATCTACATCCAGGCTGGAATTCTCCCAGCTACTGTATACACTAAGCAGTCTAAGAGCTTGGAAGAGGAACGGCAGAAATCTCAGCTGAACATACATTCTGTATCTCCTGTTGAAATTTCAAAACCTGTCCTGTTGGTCAAAATGACATTTTTTGAAGTCAGCACCAATGCACTGGTGAATTTGGAGCTTGTAAAAAACAGTGGATGAAAA